CAGGCAAGCAACACTGGAGGCGGAGACGGAGCGCTCAGTTGCGGAAGCCGAGGTGTCACGGCAGCAGGAGCGCGCAAAGGATCAGGCGAGGCAGGCCGAGATGGCCGAGGCAGAGCTGCGCAAGCAACTGTCGGCGGCGGAGGAGGCGGAGCGCGCCGCGCGTGCGGAGGCCCTCTCGCTTCGCGAGGCGGCGGCCGCCGAGGCTCTGCAGCTGCGGGCCGAGGTGGATGCGGCGAGGGCGCACCCGCCGACGCCGCTGCGCGAGGAGCTGACGGCGGTGCGGGCCCGGGCGACGGAGCTCGAGGCGGCCGCCACGGGCGCCGAGGCCGCGGCGGAGGAGCGGGTGGCGGCGGCGGAGGCGTCGCGTGCGGCGGCGGAGTCGGAGTCGGCGCGGCTGCGCGAGGCGCTTGCGGCGGCGTCGGCGCAGGTGGAGGCGGCGGAGGCGGGTGCCGAGTCTGCGCGTGCGGAGGCGGAGGCGCAGTCGGGCTGGCTGCAGAGCGCGCTCGAGGCGGAGGCTGCGCGGGCCGCGTCGGAGGCGGAGGCTTCGCTGTCGGCGCGGGAGGCGGGGTCGCGTCTGGCGGCGGCGGAGGCTGCTGCGGCGGAGCTGCGCGAGTCGCTTGCGGCGGCGGAGGGCCGGCTGTCGGCGGCGGAGGAGGCGGTGGCTGAAGTTGAGGCTCTACGCGAGCTGCTCAAGGCGCACGAAGCCGGCAAGGCGGAGGCAGAGGCGGCACTCGCTGCAGCAGCGCAAGGCACGGCCCTGCTTGAGGCAGAGTCCTCCGCTCGGGCGATGCGTTTGCAGCAGCTCACGCTTGCTGAAGCCGCGCTCTCAGAAAGCGCGCAGGCGGCACACGCGGCGCGCGACGCGGCACACGCTGAGCTCCAGTTGGCCAATGAAGCAGCCATGGCGAACAAGGCCGAGCTCAAGGCGCGGCTGCAAGCGATCCGCGAGGCGGCCGAGGTGAACGAGGCCGAGCTCCGCTTGGCGGCCGACGAAGCGGCGAGCCATTGCCGGGCGCTGCAGGTCGACCTCGAGGTGGAGCGTGAGGCGCGGCATGCAGCGGCCGCTGCAGCAGAGCAGGCGTGCGCAGAGGTCGAGCGGCTGCAGACGGATCTGCAGGCAGAGCGGGTTGCGCGGTGTGCGGCTGACAGCGAGGTGGAGAGGGCATGTGCAGAGGTGGAGCGGTTGCAGGACGATCTCGAGGTGGCGGCTCGCCAAGCAGAGGTGGAGGTGCTGGAGGCCGTGGCCGAGGCGCGGCGATTGGCCGAGGGAGGGGAGGCTCAGTCGCCATCGGCGGAGCTCACGCCGCACAAGTTCAATCGCAAGGCGCGGCTCTTGCGCGCGCGATCTGGATCAGACGCCAACAGTGCCACGCGGGCGGCCGAGCTGGCAGGCGCGTCGGACGCGCCCAGGCGACGCCGGCGGCATTGGCAAACGGAGAGCGACGCCGAGGCTGAGCGCGCACTGCACGTGGAAGTGGAGGCGTTGCGCGCGGAGGCGTTCACGTCCAGGCAAGCAACACTGGAGGCGGAGACGGAGCGCTCAGTTGCGGAAGCCGAGGTGTCACGGCAGCAGGAGCGCGCAAAGGATCAGGCGAGGCAGGCCGAGATGGCCGAGGCAGAGCTGCGCAAGCAACTGTCGGCGGCGGAGGAGGCGGAGCGCGCCGCGCGTGCGGAGGCCCTCTCGCTTCGCGAGGCGGCGGCCGCCGAGGCTCTGCAGCTGCGGGCCGAGGTGGATGCGGCGAGGGCGCACCCGCCGACGCCGCTGCGCGAGGAGCTGACGGCGGTGCGGGCCCGGGCGACGGAGCTCGAGGCGGCCGCCACGGGCGCCGAGGCCGCGGCGGAGGAGCGGGTGGCGGCGGCGGAGGCGTCGCGTGCGGCGGCGGAGTCGGAGTCGGCGCGGCTGCGCGAGGCGCTTGCGGCGGCGTCGGCGCAGGTGGAGGCGGCGGAGGCGGGTGCCGAGTCTGCGCGTGCGGAGGCGGAGGCGCAGTCGGGCTGGCTGCAGAGCGCGCTCGAGGCGGAGGCTGCGCGGGCCGCGTCGGAGGCGGAGGCTTCGCTGTCGGCGCGGGAGGCGGGGTCGCGTCTGGCGGCGGCGGAGGCTGCTGCGGCGGAGCTGCGCGAGTCGCTTGCGGCGGCGGAGGGCCGGCTGTCGGCGGCGGAGGAGGCGGAGCGCGCCGCGCGTGCGGAGGCCCTCTCGTTTCGTGAGGCGGCGGCCGCCGAGGCTCTGCAGCTGCGGGCCGAGGTGGATGCGGCGAGGGCGCACCCGCCGACGCCGCTGCGCGAGGAGCTGACGGCGGTGCGGGCCCGGGCGACGGAGCTCGAGGCGGCCGCCACGGGCGCCGAGGCCGCGGCGGAGGAGCGGGTGGCGGCGGCGGAGGCGTCGCGTGCGGCGGCGGAGTCGGAGTCGGCGCGGCTGCGCGAGGCGCTTGCGGCGGCGTCGGCGCAGGTGGAGGCGGCGGAGGCGGGTGCCGAGTCTGCGCGTGCGGAGGCGGAGGCGCAGTCGGGCTGGCTGCAGAGCGCGCTCGAGGCGGAGGCTGCGCGGGCCGCGTCGGAGGCGGAGGCTTCGCTGTCGGCGCGGGAGGCGGGGTCGCGTCTGGCGGCGGCGGAGGCTGCTGCGGCGGAGCTGCGCGAGTCGCTTGCGGCGGCGGAGGGCCGGCTGGCGGCGGCGGAGGAGGCGGAGCGCGCCGCGCGTGCGGAGGCCCTCTCGCTTCGCGAGGCGGCGGCCGCCGAGGCTCTGCAGCTGCGGGCCGAGGTGGATGCGGCGAGGGCGCACCCGCCGACGCCGCTGCGCGAGGAGCTGACGGCGGTGCGGGCGGAAGCGGCGGCGGCTGCGTCGGCCCTTTCCGCCGCGGAGGCGATGAGCGCGCACTTGGTTCGCCTTGCCGAGTCCGCCGGCGAGGCGCGGGAGGTGTCGCTGCAGGCAGCGGTGGCGCAGGCGGCGGAAGTGGAGGAGCGTGCGATGCGTGTGTTGCGCGAGCAGGAGTCGCTTCAGGCGAGCGCGGCGGCGGCGGAGGCGTCGCGTGTGGCGGCGGAGTCGGAGTCGGCGCGGCTGCGCGAGGCGCTTGCGGCGGCGTCGGCGCAGGTGGAGGCGGCGGAGGCGGGTGCCGAGTCTGCGCGTGCGGAGGCGGAGGCGCAGTCGGGCTGGCTGCAGAGCGCGCTCGAGGCGGAGGCTGCGCGGGCCGCGTCGGAGGCGGAGGCTTCGCTGTCGGCGCGGGAGGCGAGGTCGCGTCTGGCGGCGGCGGAGGCTGCTGCGGCGGAGCTGCGCGAGTCGCTTGCGGCGGCGGAGGGCCGGCTGGCGGTGGCGGAGGAGGCGGAGCGCGCCGCGCGTGCGGAGGCCCTCTCGCTTCGCGAGGCGGCGGCCGCCGAGGCTCTGCAGCTGCGGGCCGAGGATGCGGCTGCCAGCGCGCTGGCCTTCGACACGAGCCTCGACCGTGCGTTGTGAGTTCCGCCCAATCTAGCGTGCCACTCTCGGCCGTTCCTATCGCTCTCTATTCGACAACGGTTGCCCCTCTCACCTTCCGTTTCTGCATCCCAGGACGGCAACGGCTGCGGAGGCGTTGCGAGCCGAGGCAGCCGAGGCGGCCAGACAGCGGCTGGCGCGGGGTCATTCTGTGGCGATGGAACGGGCCGACGAGGAAGCCCGGGCGTTGCGGCTTGAGGCGGATTGGGCGGCCGCCGAGCAGCAGGCGCTGAAGCGGGCGGTGTCCGAGACTGAGGGGCAGCTGGCCGCTGCTGAGGCTCGTGCTGCTGCGGCTGAGGCGGCCGCGGCGGATTGGGACAGCCAGGCTAGCGTGTTTGCCAGCCGTGAGGCACACCTGACCGGCTTGCTGGAAGCCGCTGAGAGGAGGCGTATCGCGGCAGAGGCCGACGCCGCGGAATGCCGCTCTGCCTTGGAAGGCGCCACGGAGGAGCGCACGCGGTCGGTCGTTTCGGCACAACTTCTGGCAATGTCGGAAGCCGGCCTCCGCTCGTCCCTCGCGGCAGCGGAGGCTTCGTGGTCAGCAGCAGCAGCTGAGGTGGAGTCGCTGGGCGCGTCCCTACGGCAGGAGGCCGCGCGCGCCGCCGAGTTGGAGGCCGCTCGCGTCTCTCTGATGGGCGAAGTGGCTCAAGCGCAGCAGGCGCTGACTTCTGCCACCGAGCAGCATGCTCGCGAGATGGAGGCGGCCCTCGCCGCGGCCGCGGCACGCGAGCGCCATGCATTGGTCGAGGCGAGGGCCGTGGCGGCGGAGGGCCGTGCGGATGCGGCGGCCGCCGCCGCTGCCGCGGCGGCTGGAGGCAGCAGCGAGATTGTGGCGGCGCTTCAAGCGGCCCACAAGCAGTCGCTCGAGGCGACGTCTGCCGCCCATGTCTCCGAGCGCGCCGCAGCGGTGGCCGAGGCGACTTTGGCTCATGATCGGGAGCGGCAGGAGGCAGCGGCGGCGGCGGCAGTCCAGGCTGAGCGGGCGGCGGCGATGACGGAAGCGGCGGCGGCAGCGCTAAAGGAGAAGGAGACTGCGGTTTCGCAGATGCGGGCAGAGGTGGACAAGCTGCGCGGGACGCTCTCTTCGACCATCCAGGAGGCGCAGCGCGCGTCCGACGCAGCCGACGCGAGGCACGCCACGGAGGTTGCTGCGGTGCGCGCTGAGGAGAGGAACACGGCCGTGGAGGAGCGGCGGGCAGCTCTCGCCGAGGCGGAAGTGGCGCACGGGGACGCCCTTGCGCGTGTGGAGCGGGAGCGCTCCGCGGCGGCGGCGGTTGCGGCGAGCGAGCAGTTTGCGCTCGAGCGCGAACGGCACCAAGCGGCTTTGGAGTCCCAGGCGGCGGCGGCCCTTGCAGCCAAGGAGACAGCGCTGACGGAGGCGCTCGCACACGCAGCGGAGGGGAGCCGGGTGGCAGTTGCCGCAGCGATTGCGGAGAGGGACGCAGCCTTGGCTGCGACGGCAGAGCGCGCTGATGCGGCGTCGCTGGTCGCAGCAGAGCTCGAGGCCACGCGTTCAGAAAGGGACGACGCTGTTGCAGTCGCCAAGGAGGCGACCGATGCGCTCTTAGCTGCGACGGAGGGAGCGCGAGTCGAGTCGGACGCCGGGCCGACGGATATGGCCGCCGTTGTGCAGCAGCGCGCTCTGCTCAGCGAGCTGTCTCTTGCCGAAGAGCGGGAAGAGGCGGCGGCGGCCATGGCGGCGGCGGCGGTCGCTTCTGCGTGGGAAGAGGGTCGATCTGCCGGCAAGGAGGAGGCAGCCGCATCGACAGCGCAGGCCCTCGAGGAGGAGCGGGCGATGGCGCATCTGGTCAGGCTCGAGGCGGCGGGAGCCTTTGCGGATGATCGGCGTCGGGCAGTGCTGGAGGCAGTCGGTCAAACCGAAGGTCGGCTAGGAGCGGCTCTGGAGGAGGCTGGCAGCCTCCGCACGCGGCTGGCTGCGGCGGAGGAGGCGGAGCGCGCCGCGCGTGCGGAGGCCCTCTCGCTTCGCGAGGCGGCGGCCGCCGAGGCTCTGCAG